GCTTTGGGGATCCATTCCACAGTCAGTTGCTCACCTAGCAAACTCATTTGCTATCCTAATTCACCTGGGACCAAGGTGCTTACTCACTGTCTTCTAAAGCACATGGAGTCAGCCCAAACAACCCAAAGAAGCTCCCATTTCCAGGAGCAATTTAAAGCATGCCTTAATCGCCACGAGTATGAAAATGAGATGACATTTCCATTAACCTACATTCTATTTTTCAAGAAGCCTTGAGATTTGATAAAATTGTATAAATGAGATTTCGTAAGTCTCTAAAGAACTTAACAGTTCAAATACTTGTGTTCATTTGTCTGCTACCCATTCATTGATCCAACTCTAACCAAGGGGCTAACTATGGGTCAAATTCAAGAATGTAAGACCCACACTCTGCTCCCAAGGAACAGCTAGACTTAACATAGGGAGACAGGAAACTAAGCCTCCACTACATGCAAGTAAGCTGTGATGAAGATATGGAGAATCTCACTGAGGAAGGGCAGGGGGAGGGGCATAATGCAGGCAGGGCAGGAAGAGAGAGAGAGATGTCTGACAGAATTCCTGAATGGAAGGAAATGGAGTGAGGCATATATATATATACATATATATACACACACATATATATACATATATATACACATATATACATATATACACACACACATATATACATATATATGTACATATATACATATATGTACACACATATATATATATACATATATATATATGCAGGAAGATATCCCACACAGGAATCTGCCTTTGTAATGGCTTGGGGGCAAGCATGTTTAAGGTCACAACAGCAAGCTGAAGGGCACATGTGGAGAGACAATGGTAGATGAAAGTAAAGAAGAGGCAGGGTCTGGTCATGAAGAAGATGTCCACCATACTAAGGAAACTCAACTTCTATTTAAGCCCCATTTTCAATTTAAATCCTTACAGTTAGAATCCAATAATACAAAGTTATTTTGAAATAAAATGTTATAAGTAATTTTTATGAGTTTTATTTATCCTGAATGTTAAGCATTATTAGCTTCTTTTCTGGACTAAAAAAATTGCAGGAAGCCAGGTGGTAGTGGCGCATGCCTTTAATTCCAGTTCTCGGGAGGCAGAGACAGGTGGATCTCTGTGAGTTCGAGGCCAGCCTGGTCTACAGAGTGAGCTCCAGGATAGGCACCAAAATTACACAGAGAAACCCTGTCTCAAACAAACAAACATACATTGCAGGAAGACAAAAATCACTTCTATTCAATCTGTCCCTTTGATTCATTAGAGATATACAGAGGACTCATTTCATTATCAAACCTTTTTTTTAAAACAGAAAAGATTATATATTTCCCCATTTACTTATTTATTTGTGTGTGTGTATGTATGTATGTATGCATGTGTGTGTGTGCATATGTGTGTGTATGCATATGTGTGTATGCATATATGTGTATGCATGTGTGTGTATGCATGTGTGTATGTATGCATGTATGTGTATGCATGTGTGTGTATGCATGTGTGTGTGCATGTGTGTATGCATGTGTGTGTATGCATATGTGTGTGTGTGTGTGTGTGTGTGTGTGTGTGTGTGTGTGTGTGTGTATGCATATGTGTGTGCAGGCCTGTAGTCACCCAAGTGTCATTTCTCAGGAACCATCCATCTTGTTTTTTGAGGAGGGTCTCTCAGTGGGTCCTGGAGCTCAGAGATTTGGTGCGACTGACTGGCTAGCAAACTCCAAGGATTTACTGGTCTCTGCTTCCCAGTGATGTGATTCCAAGCTTCCACCACCAAACCTGTCTTTTTAGGTGAGTACAGGTTCCACCTCAGAGTCACCTGCTTGCCCAGCAAGCCCTGTACTGACTGAGCCATCTCTCCAGCCAGCTCCTATCATAAGACCCCCCCCTTTTTTTTTGCCATCACAAGACTTTTATTTCTAAATTTTCCACAGCTGTTGTCTAGATATTGTATCAAAAGCACTAGAGATCTGTTCACTAATCAACAAAGGCTTATAGCTTAAGAACTAACAGTTGTTATTATTCTTAATTTTCAGAACTGAAATGCCATTGCTTTGGTGACAGATTGAGAAACAAACTAATCATAAAAGGCCATAAAAGCTAATAACGAAAGGAAATAAGTAAACTAAAATAGATCAAAGTGAAACTATATATGATCAGAATCTGTTGTTCATTATGGCTTATTTGATGGAGTTGAGCAATCTATTAACTTTTGACATGGGAGGGTGGAATTCACTAATTGACTCAGAGGAGCTTCACTTTCACGGTCATGTAGATCCACAATATTTACAACTTAACATCACCCTTGCCCAAAAGACTGCCCACAGTTTGATGAGGGACTCAAGTGCAGTAGCAAAACATTCACCATCTCGTTCTCCCTCACATGGTCACCTGACGGGCAGTCCCTGAAGGTCAACACACTGATGCCTGAGTAAAGCATGGCATCGTCATGTTGAACCTCCGCGGTGTGCATCCAGACACATCAGCCTGTTCCCTCTGTTCTGAGTAAGACCATCTAGTGCTGCCTGCTAGGTCTCCATGGTGGTCCGTCCACACACTGTGCTTCGCAGGAATCATTTGCTAGAAATCTGACTCCTTAGAGTGCTTTACCAGTCTGTAGCCTGATGTGGAGGCTGCTGGATCCAGCCATCAACAGACGGCTGGAAAAAGCCAATCTTTGGTCAGTACCAGAGAGCCCACCCTGGCTTTTCAAACTATGGGACACATGCTGTCATTTAAATAAAAGGAGAATATGAAGGCGCATTATCAAGGAGACACAACTTTATGCTGTTGTTTATTCAATGATCAATAAGCTAAAATAGTTTAATATTAAAATAATATGTGGAATACATGATGCAATATAATGGACAAAAATTTCACAACAATTAAGATAGCACACAAAAGTCCAAAGAAACTGTCTGCTGGTAAAAGTTGTTTGTTTTTTTTTTCCATCTTCCAGAGACGTGGTAGCAAATCTGTCTTTCTGTTCACTAGTGGAAACTCTGAGAAGCAGTGGAAAGGGAGTGGGTTTCAGAACCAGACAGAGCTAAGTCTGACTTTGACCAAGTCAAGCGTGACTTCAAGGCTCAGTGTCCTCATCAAAGAGGAAGTTATTGAGTAGATGTATAAACACACAGCACATTCTCAGAGGCGGCCAGGTGCTCTGAAAACATATCCTTCCAATCCATGCTCCTGTTTACATCTTCTCAACAGCTGGCTTCTGCCTGTGGAAGCGAGCTCTACCTAGTTCTATCATGGCTGAAACCTGCTGGCATGCAAATCCCTTCAGCAGTCTGGTGGAGCCTGAGGTCCTTCTCAGGACGATGTATTAAAATTAATGACAGACAATATGTCCGATTACAAAGGAAATAGCTCCTATTGAAATAAAGGTCAAATACTAATAAAAACAAACCACATGCTACCATCACCCATGTACTTCTCTATCAACACCTCAGATAACACATTCTGGCAGCAGGGTCCACAAGGACAGTTGTTTTGACGTAATGATGAGCAAGTAACACCTCGGGATGTCTATAACACACATAATTTGATACGAAAACACATAAGGTGTCTAGAGACGTGAGTTGCAGGTCCTGCCACTGTGGGGCTTTTCCACATGTCAGGCTCGAAGGAACCGTTAGTTTCTCTTGGATGTGAGTGATGATAAAATGTACTTTTCTAGTGTAAGACACGAAGTTCCCATCCAAGCACACGGAATCCTGGATTCCACCCACGGTCCTCTGAAGGTCCACGGCCCAGGCGAAGTGGTGCCCTCTGGCCGTAAATCCCACCCTCTCTGCCTGTCACTACTGGGTATCTGGTCTCCAAATACACTCAAACTCTGTGCATTTTGAGCGCTTACTTTTGCTTTTATATATGATTCTTTGCGTTTATATATGATTCTCCGCCCACAGATCTTTACACGGTTGTTTTCGTTCCCATCAACTTTACGTCAGTTCTATCATGACCTTCTCTCACAGGGCTCTTGGGACAGCCTCACGGAAAGTAGTCACCTCCCCACCTCCCTTCCCACCAAAGCACCCTGCTGTGTGTTTCTCAAAGCTGTTCACAGGTCGGAAATGATTGTGCTCATTTGTATGTTCCTGCATTTATTTTCGGCTTCTCTTCCCTAAATGTGCACACTATGAGAACAGGTGCCCCATCTACATGTTTAGTGCCACATCACTGGCATCCAGTAAAGAAGGAAATTGCAAGGACTTGGCAAATACTACTCCTCTCAGCCTTCATTCTATATTGTTAGTATGGCATGAATACAAAGTGATAAGGGACAAATACCTATCCTTAAGTAAGTGACAGTCCCGTGGAGTCTAGGGTACCTCTGGGCAATTGTGACCTGAGTAGAGATTGACAGAAGTTCCTGTCCAGGATCTCATGACCATGCGTGAATCTTAGGGAATACAGCTCCTATGGATAATCTTTGTTGCTAAGGAGTAGGTTGGGTAGCCTTCTCTCAATGGCCAGTGATTCTGTGCTATTGGGAGTCAATACCACAATGTATTAATTAATACACAGATGGCAAGAGGAGGTTGCTGACCCAAGTGGGGTAAGCTGGGAAGGGCTGGGAATGGCGATCAGTTTTTAACGAATGATAAAGATGGGAGGGTGAGTCAGTGTCATGAACTCTCAGGGTTGAAGGACACTCAAAAGGCCATCTCAAAGGACCACAGGATAGTTGGAGAGGTAGTGCCATACTCAAGCTCTTAGATGCTGCCTCCTTGCTATATGAATGAAAGCACACGGCTCACCTGTGCTATTGTTCAGTTTCTGACTCATGGAGATGATGGTCAAAAATGAGAAAATGTATATTGTGCTTATCACACCCTCCACAGATGTAACTTTCTGATAAATAGTATACCAATGCAACAAACTTTCTATGTGTCTCTGCAAACCATTTCTCCCTTCTTCCATTATAATCAAGTTTTTCCAGCAGGGGTTATGTTATCTAGTGAGCAGTTGCTAGGAGCCAACATAGAGCAAGCCCTTACCTTCTCCTTGACATTCACATGGGTGTTGAGTTCAGCCATCTTCCTTCTAGGGGTATAAGCCCTATAAAGAAGGGATAAGAGAAATGGTTAATGCTTCAGTGATTTCCCAATGTGTCGTTTTTATGCCCTGTTGTGGTCTGAATGAGAACGGCTCCCACAGGCTCATGTATTTGAATGACTGGTCCCCAGTTGGTGGAACTGTTTAGGAAGGATTAGGAGGTATGGCCTTGTTGAAGGAGGTGTGTCACTATGGGTTGGCTTTGAGATTTCAAAAGTCCATGCTATTCCAAGTTTTCATCCCCCACCTCTCTGTCTCCTCCAGCTTGTGTATCAGATGCGGGCTCTCAGCTACTGCTCCAGCATCATGCCTGCCTGCTTGCTATCATGCTTCCCACCATGATTGTCATCCGCCACCCTCTGAAACTGTAAGCTCCCAATAAACTCTTCCTTCTATTAGCTGTCTTGGTCCTTGGTGTCTTAGCACAGCAATAGAAAGTAATTAATGCTTCCTTTGACACGGTGAACAATTTCATTCAGTCCTGATCATAAGTACTATCTAGAATGCAGAAATACTTTCCAGTTAAACATTTGACTTAGGTATGTTCTAAAAGCATGTTATGATAACTCTGGAAGACAATATAAAATCTTTTTATTCATGCTGTATTAACATGGGAAATGACACAGACAGATGGGAATGAACCCAAACTGTGTTTCTTCTTCTTATGAAAGAGAAAAAGGGGAGTGGTCAAAAACTGAAATTGTACCAATTTCAAATAAGCATTGTCATGGCAAGCCTCATTGTGGGAAGGTTATCATCAGCCCTGGGTGATCTCACACAGACGTTAAACGTCTTCAGCACAGGCGGAGAGAACTCCAGAGGAGCCAGGGGGAATGGCTGCCACCGTAAACAGAAGAAACACTACGCTTTCTCTTCCTTTTATCTGGAATGTTCTCACCTTGGCATGGCCATTTCTTTTCTGTCAACTTCATCTTAGCTCAAGCTTCTCCTTCCCTGAGAAGGGGCTTTCCTGCCCACTCTGGCTACAGTTGCCACCTCCCCGGCTCGCTCTCCATTGGCACGCTTAGAATAGATAACAACTTCCGGGACCCGTGAGTACCTCATCACATCTTCCAAAGACCATGAGAGCACCATCTCCAGTCTCAACAGACCCTGAACACTGTTCGCCATTTTCCTATCCTTAACTCCAGGCTGCCACCATGGCTGTCTGTGAAGCAGCCCCACTCTGAGATCTGTGCTCCTCACAGCAAGTTGTGGTATTTTTTTCTCCTATCTGGTCAAAATCTTTGACCACTGTTATTGAAACTGAATCTTAAGCCTTTAATAACTTTGATCTTTTTGAGACAGAGAATAAATGACTTTTATACCTGACAGACTGGCCCAGAAGTTAGCAGCAGGTCACCCTCTGAATATATACGACCTCTCTGCATGCTGACCACTTCCTGTCAATCAAGAATCATGGAAATGCGTTCTTGCGTTCTTTCTGACTTTTGACATCAAGTATCCCCATCTCCAGAGAAGACACATGTAAGACACTGCCTGTAAAAATGTTTTGATTTCTTCCAGTTTCTTTTAAACCTAGCTCTTAAGGAAAATATAGATTTTGATTTAATACCTTTTGCCAGTTTTTGGATGAAAACTTGACCATATCGAATGTAGACTCTATTATCATTCCAATTATTCTCAAATAGGAATCCATTTATACATATTATCAAATACTGGAAACCATTAGATTTTATTTTTAGAACTTTCCAAAGAGTGCTGCCAACTGACATGTGCGTTTGGGGCATGCTAGCCAGAGGCCCTGCACACTCCTTCCCAGGAAGGTGGTTCTCTGCAACATGCTCTGCACAGACAGACAGACACCCCACTGAAAACACCCCTCACCTCTTTCCGTTGGCAAATTCTATGTCTCCAAAGTTGGCATAAGAGAGACAGTAAATGTACTGGCTGGCAAATTATACCTCCCATCTATTCCTGATTACTCCTGCCCTTGAACGGTACTAGGAAAAGATTATCCTCTGATTGTCTCTAACATCCGGCACCACCATGTCTGTAAGATGTTCACGGAGATGGCCCTTCCAAGACTTCTGCTTGGTTGTCGAATTCCGGCCTTACGTAAACATCCACCGGTCATACGGCTTTTTGTCAGGGTGTGACGGTGTAGATATGGGGGGGGGATATTAAGATGAACACATGTGGAGCTACACAGGCAGTGAACGGTGAACTCGCTCTGGTGTCATCTGATAGCCTGTGAGCGACAGCTCCACCAGCCGGGTGTATTTCTAGTTTTTCCATTACAGATGCGTGAAACCCGATGGAAGAGGTTTTGTTTTGTTTTTGCATTTGGGCTTTAAAGTCTAGGCTGCAGCTTTGTCTACAGCTCAAGAGTTAGAAGCCACAGAGGAATCTGGGAGAAATCCCAGTGAACAGGTGTTTCTAAATTCCGAGGAAGCAGCAGCCCTGACGGTAAGCTATGTTCACAGGACAAAGTGCTCTCTCTGTCTCATCTCTGTCTCATCTCTGTCTCTCTGTCTCTCTCTCTGTCTCTCTCTCTCTCTCTCACACACACACACACCTCCTTTCTTGGCAATTTATCTGCTCACTGACCTCACGGCGCAAAGGCTCTTCTTCAGAACTGATGCCAGTAAGATTAATCATGACATTATTTTTTTCCGTGAAAGGAAATGCTGAAAACAAATGTGTATTGGCGCCATGTAGGTTTCTCAGATGTGAAGACAGGAATAATTGTAGGAGCTAAACTCTGTTTCCCATATGGAAGGCTGCCCCATAGGCTCTTCTTTCTGGGTAGATTTTAGTGTCCCTTCCAAACCACGCCTTTTTTTTTTTTGCTCGCTGATTTACGAGAGAAGGTTGGGAAATTGCCCACAGCTCCAATAATGGAAACTAATTGAAGGGCTTTAATCTAAAAAGACAAAAATTCATTTGTTTTCAAAAATTATGAGTTACATTAACTGGATATTGGGGTCTACCGATAAGGACAGCTGCCAGGGGCACTGTGGGTGACTGAGGGAGAACTGTAGCTTTCAGGTGTCTGCACCTTCCGGCTGCCACCAGTCCTGCCTGGATGTTCGGAAGCACACTTTGCCTCCCTCATCCCTGTCCCCTGTGAGGACGAGACTGGGCTGTGGCCCTCAGTTTTTGAGACTCTGTTTCCTGCTATGAACTGCATCTGGCCAGTCAGTGGCACTGAGTCTCAATCTTGTTTACTCTAGATAGTAAAGGAACACGTACGTCCTCTGAGAGGCACATTGTTACTTCCTCCATACGACGAGCCCAGGACACAACCGTGTGCAACTGCAGCCCCACAAGCTGCAGACAGAAGCCTCCAATGCTAGCATTTTTTTCAGGCCCTTTGGTGAGTGTTTGGAGACAAATCCTCCAACCTGCGCTTGGTCATCACACCTGGTAGCATGTTATGGCTCAATGGGATGCATGCCTCACTCCTGACCACTAGATTATCTCAAGAGCGTCAAGTCTACCAGGGAAGGAGAGCTCTGACTTCTTGGGGAGAAAAATGGTTTCTAATTCTTTATTAGCACTTGAGGCTATTCTTGGAGCAGACTAATTACTGGGGCCTAATTGTAGGCATGCACGGCATGCAGCATTTTAGTCAGTAGCAGGCTGCAGAGGCTGCCACATGACACACAGCGCATGTGTGAAAGAGGTTGCACAATCTAGATTTGTGTACATAGACCCCGTGATGTTTGCACAGCAACAAATTTGCCCATGATGCTTCCTCAGTACCAACGTTCTAAGACATGCACACTACACTCTAGTCTGTGGAGGCATGTTCCCTGCCAATCTATCAACCAGCACAAAGTTAAGATGTCCAAAGATGTAAATGCTGTTTTTCACATAGCATTTCAAAAGCTTAGTTAATGGTTTAAGTTTTTTTTTCTTAAAACAATAACTTAGATTGCAGTAATAGCATTACAAATATGTCTAGGTATCCTATGTTTTACTATATCCCCTAGACAAAAATAAAGACCAAGAAAGTTGTAAAAAACTTATTAGGCAAAGACATCAATCACAAAGGAAAGAATTCACCATTTTAATATATCATCTCTATGCTCCTCCAGAGTAAAATTAATAAAACATAAATATGGTAAATACCAACCACTTCAGGCACAGAGTTCCATCAAACTGAAGTACTCGCTGAGCAACGACCTTACTTAGTATGCATTAATGAATTCTGAAATCCTACTAGCTTCCAAACAAAAGTAAACATTTTTATGAGAAATAAACCCGAATAGTAGGAAATCTGGCAAATATATCTGCCTCAGCCTTTCTAATTGACATAATACAATGAAGTTTAATGTGTATGTCAACGTGATCAATTACCGACTCCAAGTTCAAATATTTGTGTTTCTCCCGCAGTCATGGAAACAGGAAAACTTCCAAGAGTGGCCAGAGACTGGGTGCCTGACTTCTCAGCATTTCCCTGGCTCCCTGTGGAGGCGGGGACAGGGTTTCACTTTTGTTTCTCTGAAAACTAGGCTGGCTCTCAGCTTCACTTTCCTGTTCCCAGGCATTACGTCACACTGCCCGAATTGGACTTGAAGGACTAGAGGAAGGCCAGGAGGGAAACTTAAGAAAACGATCTTCACAATTTCTCTTGAGGCATTTACGAACATCTTACATAATAACCAGACTGTGTATTTGGGGTTATGAGTAGAGTAGCAGAGTTATATGTCAGCTGCAGGGGCGGATGGTAAGTGTCCTAGCTTCATGCTGGTACAGGGCAGGGGCTCTTCTAAGCCCTTGGCTAATGATCAGAAGCTCCTCAACTGAGGTGTTTGCAGAAGAAAAGTTTGTGAGGCTCAGTCAAACTGGGATACTGGTTAGTAGCAGCTGCTTTCCAGGTCACTCTCCTCTACAGCCTGTCTGGGTTGGAATGTGCTGCAATTTTAAAACAGTCCCTGACTTTTACAGACTTAGTACAAAAAGAATGCAAATGGTCTCATTCATATTTTTATATTGACTGTATGTTGAAATGATTGTATTAATAGATTAAGTTA